TTGCTCAATATAATTTACTCATAGGCAAGCTAAGAAGGGATTAAATTAAAAACTCATTATAGATTTGGAGAAACAGCAACAATTGTTCCATTCACAAAGGTCAAATTTAGACAGATAACAGATATCAGATATATCGTTAACTTTGCCTAATTCTTTCTCCATTCTTGCTTCTTCTGTCCCAGCATCTTCAATGCTTTTCCAAGAAACTTGATGTATGAGGTCCGCATTTCTTTTGTTATGCTTTTGATGGGTTATATCAGTCATGACTTGAATATTAAGCACAGAAAATAATTCATTAGGGGTAGAGTACCCCGTATAAATGTATATGGTATCAAGTACCAAGGCATCATTGACGTCCATTGTCTCATTAGAATGTTTAATGAGATCGAGATTTTTTTAAATATTACACATGTTACAACGTAGGCGTATTTTAGTATTCAGTCCCATCAGATATTCACTGATGACATACATGTTTCCAAACGTACAATCAAAAGGCGGATGACTTAATATTTCGGCTATTTGTTGAAACAAATACTGAATATCCGTGATACGTCGTCCATCCAAAACTGTGATCAAGTCACTGAAAGAGAAAACATATTTCAATAAATCCTTCACTCATGTATGTAAAGTGTTTTTTTTAATTAACATTTATTTGCTAATTAAACATTATACCTGCCGCAATTAATCAGCACATTTTTATTTACTTTTGCTTGGAGATTACACATTTAAAATCAGAAATGTCATCCTTTCTGGTGCTGTGAATATTAATCTCCAGTGACAGTGTTTCCAAAGCCGAGCTAAAATATTAAAAAAACCAATAGTTATTTTCTTCAATATTCTCGATTTCATTGTTTAACAGGTTCAGCGCCATATGGCATACACCAGTGTCTGTTGGGTTAATTTTCGTATGGGCCAAAGCAGACACCGGTGTCTGCCTCAGTTTAAAAACTTTATCGGTTCCTTCTGGCCTGGAGGACACGGTAATACGAGGTTTGATAGAGTGATGTGTCTGCCCTGGCCCTGGACTATACCAAAACGGTGCCAGGATTAAAGTAGCGGTTTTTACATGTTTAAAATAGTAACTTTTTTACAAAACAATAAAACAACGTATTTCGCTTTAGTTTTTATTTTAAAATGATAATAATAATAGTAATAACATCAAAAAATGTTAATGATTAACTAAGACAAAGAAATTCTAAAAGAAAAATGTTTCGAAATAAAAGAAATATTAAAGTACCACATTTTTTTTATGGAACGCGTTAAATCAATCTAAGCAAAACCTTGGCTACTCATTACAATTCTGTCAGTATGTTATAACCCTTTTTACTTTACTTTTTTTCAATAAACCGTCGATCTTTTTTTGATAACATCCTCTACAATACTTTGTTTTCACGGGCTTTGCAATCCAATTTAGTAAAAACATGCGAACGAAGACTTTTTAGCTGCGTTGGTTCATCTGTTATTGGTGATTCAAATGTTAACATATTTTCAATAACTGATAAACGGAAATCTGTTTAGACATTGAACTCTCTTCAACTTCCTGGAAAACGAAGTGTGCGTTGCTTTTTGCTGCTTTTTTATACCGGCGGATTGTCCTTCGTAATGCTGTGCTATAACTGGACATTTGGTCGGAAAGATCGACTGAGCTTTTACCTTTGTTATAATCTATAATTGCCCTTGGCTTGTTAATTTCTTTACCATGTCTTTGCATCCGAACTGTCTCGTCAGTATGCAAAGTAGAAAGAACCAGCACATCTCTTTTATCTCGCCATTTGAGGACACATATTCCCCTCTCGTTTTCCTGAACTACTAATTCATCTTTTCTTAGCTTTTTCTTTATAATTTCACTGGGATTTCCTCTCCGATTACCTCGTAATGTGCCTAAGCAATGTGTTTGTTGGTCTAAAAGTATGTGGGCTAATTGAAGGCTGGTATACCAATTATCTATTACGCAGACTCTTCCGCTTCCTAACAGTTCTTGGGATAATTTTAGTACAACATTAATCGCGACAGAGTGGGTTCCATTTGCTTGTTCTTTCTCTTTACCTGCATAAAGGGACATGTTCCAAGTGTAGCCCTTGTCACAACATAACTTTAATACCTTAATTCCAGTATTTAATAAAATTTAATTATTTTTTCACAGATCGCTCTAGAATCTTGTCTTGAACGTCGGAATGCCATTTTTTTTAACAAAAAAATTGGCTTAAATATCTTAATTATCAAATTTATTTTTTTTTTATGTAAACGCGACATTTTATTAATATTCCTGGTTTGTTTAGTGAAAATCGCTTTACGATTGCTTTTTTCGTTCAAGAGCCAGTTTAAAGCATTTTTGGATGAACTTTCTTCAGAAAACGATGATGTAACATATTATGGCGAAGTAGTAGTTGTTTCTTTGTTTCGACCATGTGGAATTACACAGCGATACTTCCCTGTTAAATCGTCTCCTAAGTAGATAAAGTCTATCGGTACTAATTGGAGCTATATAGAGACTTGGAGGTATGTCGAGACTACTGGGAGCTAGACTACTTGAGGCTACTTCGAAATTACTTATTGGATATCACTTGTTGCTACGTGAAGCACGTCGAAAATTGCTTTGAGCTACGTGAAGCTACGTAGAAACTTGGAGTTTGGAAGCTACGTGGAAACTACTTCGGAGCTTCGTCGAAAATTACTAGGAAGCTTCATAGAAAATTACTTCGAGTTTGGAGTTTGGAGCTTGTTTGGAGAAGCTACACAGGTTTAGGAATAAAAAGTACCTCAGTAACAGGAATAGTACGTACATCTACAGGCCAGGTTAGAAATCTAACGGTCTTATGCATAAACAGGACAATTATTAAAGTTACATCATCTGAACAGAATATAAAATATTTATAGGGCCAAAATAAGTTTTAACAATAAGTTTTACATCATCTAAACAAAATATAAACTATTTAAAAGGCCAAAAAAGTTAACCATAGATTTCCGTTTAAACTGTATTTCCATGACTGATTACTAATTCAATTATTTAATTGCCTCTCCGCGTATATATCAAAGAAAGCTTACAAATATTAATAGGTAGGGTAGCTATAATCTATATAAAATAAAATAAAACAATAATAACCGGCATTCGTCGGGATGGTGATAATAAAAAAAGCAAATGGCCGACCTTTCGGCTTTTCGACTAAATCCAGCAAAGCGTTAAAATGTTAGTTGGAAAAACATTACTTGACAATTATCCCAATGGTAGTACGATATGAAAAAGCACAAGATAATTACGGAAATCCACTCATAATAACTACAAACTAGTAGATTTGTCGACACAACACTAGCACATTGAGTTTTGAATTCGATAAACAAAAGGAATCTGTTAAAGCAACGCCAGCCGGTTTTATACTTCCTCAGCGTGAACGTAAAAGAAATGCTGCACAATAAATAAAAAATTACTGAATTTTTGTCCCGTTTTTATTCACTACTACCTACTTACTTCTTGCTTATGACCCGCGACCTAATTAAGTCTCGAAATTACCACTCAGCTAAACAAACTTTGCCCATACCTGACGTAAACCGTTGATAATACAAAGTTGATTAAATGAAAAAAAATTTACATATTTCGACACTCAATCTCATGAAGTTTTGAATACTAAAATATCAGAGCTACTTTCAGAGATTATTTATTAAAAAACAAATGAGTACCATTTCTTTATGCATCTACAGTACGTTTATTTGCAAAAATAGACAAAAACTCTTTAGGATTGTTTTGCAGTTTGAGTTAGTTAAAGTTAAGAGACAGATCAGTATACATTAATGTATACATTAATATAAATTAGCAAATTAATATCCACATTAGTGAATCAATAAATTAGGGATATTAAAAACCAATAAATTAGCGTATTAAGTGTAAATAAATTATAAATAAATGTTACATTAGTTTTATGATGTACTGTATCATTTATATGGGAATGGAAACAAGTAATTAATATTTAACAGCAACCTCGTATATTAAAAAAATAATTCAAACCGATATTTCGTTTTGAATATACCATTTCTCCAAGAAAAAAATATCCTTTTCATGAATAAAATCCGATTAAAATGATTTACATAAATTATTTATCAAGACGAGAATCATCGAGCGGCATTTCCCGAAACGCGAAAATGGAAATTAAGCGCGATGATTTTCCATTTTCTATCGGGATTCGGCTTCGATGGCAGTGCTTTTAATAATCGAGTTATTTGTGTTTAAAATTGAGAAGGAAATGAATTTTACTGGATTGTCGATATTCGTGGTCGGTTAATAATTTTTTAAACTTTGCATTTGGAAATATTTCGATTCACAATAAATACTGAATATATTAATTTATTGATTGCAATATTTCATTCAGTGAGACGAACTGGAATATTTTTAGAATAATCGGTAGAACAAGAAGTATCACTATTTAACATTTATTTCTCATGATTAAAAATTCCAACTAAATATATAAATGAAATAAATATTTTTTATTCCCGATTGGAAAGAAGAGAAAGAAGACAATAAAATAGAAAAAATATACTAACCTGTCATTCTTGCCATAGAGCAAAACGATTCTTACTAGCGACTAAAAAAACACTCCCCAATTTTGTTAGTGTAATTTGCTCTATAACCATTTGATATGGCGTCAAAAAAGACTGATGTTACCACCCAAGTTACACAAAACTCTACTACTAGCAAATAATGCTGGACCCAAGCATTAAATGCAAAAAAAGGCTTTATTAGCATTTAAAAATAAATAAATCAGATAAGATAGAGCTCACGACATGAAAGTATTTGAATATTTATTGAAAAAACAAAATGGATGAATAAAATAAGTATAGGAAAATGAAGGATTAATGAATTTTTAATAGGTACTCCATATTCTATGGCTCTTATTTTACTTAGTACATCTTCTACTGTTACAGTTTGTAATCTGTGGGTAAGAAAGTTTACAATAAAAACTCTTAATAATTATTTCTTATTTCTTGGTTTTATTTATTATACATATCTACCTACTTTTAAAGAAAAACAAGCCGTTAAAATTGATTCTTTAATTTGATTATCCCAATATTTAAAATATCCAAATGTTTCTATTTATGCACTCTCCTTTTAAAAAATATTTACAAAAAAATAACACCATTCCCTGTCTAACCTTCAGCCGCCGCCCCTTCCACCTCTTCCTTAGGTTCTTCTTTCTTTTTCTTGTAGCTCTTGAACAGATCGTCGGGCATAAAGAAGGTTGATTTTTTTACTTTGACCCTCGGTATGTCGTATTTGACCGGTTTGAATTCGTACGGTTTTGGTATCCTCTCGATCACTTTTCTTTGGATGAGGTCATCGAATAAGGCCAGCTGAGCTTCTTCCACCTCTTCGATGAACGTTTCTTTCGACACTCCATCGCTCTCAGCCGCAGGTGTTGGGTTGTAAGCGCAAATGCCGAAAGTTTTCATACCTAGTGTTAAAAAACATACATATTTTTAACTATACAAGCGAATTGGATATGCCACTATACATAGACGTGTTCTTAGAAACAAAGTATTATATAGACAGTCACAAGAAATTCAAACAATTTAATCTATGACATAACGATGTCAATGTAAGCACAGATACAATAAAATTATAAAAGAATATTTTAAATTTTAAAAAACATTCTTATTAAAACATTGCAACATATTAAAAATATATTAATTGTAGTATTGCAACATATTAAAAATATATTAATTGTAGTAGAAAGATTGTAAACCGCGGCGGTCGCTAAAAAGATCCACACCTATAAAAACAGGAAAAACGCCGATCTAGTTTTCCACTAAAATACACAACAATATTATTTCCGACACAACGATTTCTCATTTGCCATTAAACTTTTGATATAACACTCACCTTGTCTGTATTGCTCCATATCTATATATCCGGTGTTCATGCGGTCCATTAAGTAAAAGAGTTGTTCAAAATGCTTCCTCTCGTATAAAGTTGGAGGTTTCGCTACGCCAGTTCTATATAGGAGACATTTATTTAACAGTTCCAAAATAAACTGTATGGGATTGTCAGGAGTTGATGATAAAAGCTGAGCTAAAAAGGAACAAGGATTATTGAAAATAGTAATCTAAGAGTAATTAATTTTGTAGCAAATTTTTGTTTTGATTTTAGATTGCTTGGGAAGAGTTCTTCAATTTTGTTGTATCGGTAACTTTAAGTTGTATTCTTGAATAATAATATGAGGTAACATTTTTTTTTTAATAATTTTATGTAATATATATTCTAGGTACCTACATAAAAATAAATTGCCCATTATCATCAAGTATAAAACTATTCGTGGCGTATGTAAACATATGGTACAATTAGTATCACACAAAATATTAGGATAAACATATTAATTCACTAAAAAAAATGTTCTATCGATTTTTCAATAGAAACGTCAAGTATACGGTTTTTGAAATTTCAGTACAAACCATAGATAATTTACAAAATTTTTGAAGAATGAACGGTGGTGTCCGCGGTAGAAACTCAATAATCGGATTGAACATTGATGCCAAGTTTACGTGCTTTTAACTATAATTACAATACAGATTACACAATTTCTGAAGTCAACGCGGATGATCCTCGACAGAAATGCAATATTTGGATAAAATTAAAATATTGCGCCAAGTTTGCGATGTTTTTAACTGTAGTAATGTTATTGCGTTTACTTGAATTACTGTTAGGTCTTTAAATTGTCCAAAAAAAAAAAATAATGTCTGACAACAGCGGAAGTAGAGTAGACCGCAATTGTGGAGGGTCGTATATTGTTTCATTTCAGGAGCCAGTGAATTTTTTCGTACTTGTTTTCCCGGTCCGTGTATATTTAAATAATCTATTCCCGGTGAACTGTATATTTAAAATGGAACGCCAATCTATTAACAAAAGTAAGCCAGATTGAATTCGCGCATTACGTCACATCGATACAAGTGAGATTGTTTACAAAGTGCCTTTGCAGGCCTATTTTGCCCATTTCATGTATTTGTTTTTAAATCATGTTAAATTACTATTTTTGAAACTCAACAAGGAGAAAATCCAATTAACTCTTCCGTTGTGTATATATATAAGATAAATTAACTGAAGTTTTATTAGTAAAGTATTAATACTAAAATTTTAATGTAATTTACAGAAAACATATTTATTTGTTTTAAAATGATTTGATAATTTATGAAAAAAGGGAGTAAAAGTGGAATGACCAGTGGCCAGTAGGTCAGTCAATACAAAGTATCATATATTTCTATTATAACATAACTAAAATACCTACATCTTTTAATCATAAGGACATAAGTTAAAAACCATTTTAATATATGCATTAGAATGAAGTAATAATAACTTAAAGAGACGACGTCTTAAAGTAATAGCTGGTACAGCATGTTTTTTAAACGTTTCCTCATTGCTGCTAGAATGAAATCACTTACTATGAAATGTACTCTAAAAACGGCATTTATAGCAGTCAGTGTTCAGTCTTAGGATCTCTTCCGAAAGCCCTCATCCAAGCTGCATACATATTAAAAAATAATTAAAAAAAAAAACATTATATACCTATATAGTTTTCGGTTCTGGGTGCCCTAAAAGAGGACACTTAGCCGACAATTTGGCTCAGATAGCTAAAACCCAAAAGTCACACCCCGAACCAGGACGTATTGCTATCCTTTTAAGTAAAAAATAACTACAAATAACTTACCTGAAAAATGAAGGCGTCTAACTTTACACCATACACTTTTTTCCATTGTTGCAAGCACCCGATGACGATTAGGTAGATATCAACTAGAAGCATGTACTTAATGGTTATAAAGCTTATTTTAACACAAAAAGAATAAAGCACTAGTCGAAAAGCAGCAATCAAATATAAATAGACCACAATATTAAAATTCAAATTAAAAACTATATAAAAGACAAATACTCTAAAAGCGCAAAAGATCAGAACCAAATAAAATGAATAACCATAATAACCTAAAAATCACACTAAAATTGCAAAAACTATTACTGTAAAATCATGAGATTACATCAATAATACATATGCGTCGGAGTATCGCAAATGTCAAAAGTACAGTATTTCCATGAAAATTTAGCTATGTTTTTAGCAGTATTATAGGACCATTTCTACCACGCGCATCCAACGATATTGGCGTTCCACAGTTCACTGTATTTTCCTCACACCTCTAGTATAAATGATTTGACATAACGAAACTAACAATAATTATAATTAATGTAATAAGTGATTCGTGAATTCTAAATAAAACAATTATTATATAAAAGTGTAAAAGGAAATGTAATTTATTTCCCTATTTTCTTCTGTAATATCTTCAATTATTATGTTTAATTTCTATAAATAAACCAACTGGTTAGGTGGAACATTGTGATATAAGATTTTATTTATGTGTCCTATGCGTACACTTTAATATACAAAACACCTGGAACATTCTTTAAATAATTGTGGTCGTAGAAATAATTGTGTACATAACTCGTTTGAAAGTGTATTTTATGCACTTGCCAAATATATTATCCATACAGATTAATAAGACTATTTTTTTACTTAACTTCAGTACATCTTCTACTACTAAAACTATTTTTATCAATGGAAAAAAAGGGCCGTGTTCTCGTATGTTTTGACGCATTTTCGGCCTCAGCCCATCGGATCCCCCCTCTAAATATATATGAATTTGCTTAGAATTGCTAATCCTACAATTCTCTATTCGTGCTTGCTGACTGGGAAAATAAATACCGAAAATCGTCACTGTCTCCTGGACTATACAATAGATGATGAGAACTTCACAACAAATACACTTTTATGAATGGCTAGTTGGGGATGTGGTAGAAACACACTCAAAAAATATATTTTTTGAAAGCTATAGTCGACAAGAAAAGATCGAGAGGTATTCTAGATAGCGTAGGTTCGAATCCTGTCCAGACACGTCAATTTTTTTAAACTAGTTACCTATAATAAATTGAAAGAAATCAAAAATCCTGTGCGCCCTTAAGTACTTCTGAGCTTTTCTCATACACACAGACGTACTGTACTCGAAATCTTCTCTCGGCCCATAAACGTGTTCTTCCGGCGCAAATTCTTCTGTGGCTTGCTCCTCCAAACCCATGAGATATTGAAGGCGGACGTCGCCGACTGATCCTTTATCAGTCATAGTTTCCGATACTTTGTCGTCGGATTTTTTCGAAGTTGGTGGCGTAGTTTCTGGAGACCTCCTAAAAAGAAAAGAAAACAAGTCTTACTACGGCTGTAAGGACTTACTGTACATGTGACTTTGATCTGCAGCAGTCTAGTTTAGTTTCTTAATTAAGCATTTAGAAATGTGCACATTAAAACTTCAATATCTACGTAATTATGGAATACATCTCCACAACACTAAAGAAAAATTGCAAAAGCTGATGTTTAACCTTTCTCTTCTTTCTTTTAAAAACATTGACATTTACAGCAATTTGTACATGTAATCTGAACAATGTTATATGAAGGAAAGATCTTAGATTGTATTCTGGTACATGCTAAATGTGGCATCTTCCATATCGATGCTGTGTTGGTGGCGATATGGGTAGAAGCTGATTTTTTTTAAATTTGCCAATTCAACTGTTGTAGGTATGTGCTGCGGTTCCTGCTTTGGTCCTGGCCGGTGCACACACCAGTTTCTTCATTTCTCAGCTTTGTCTTCGATTTGTTTTTACTTTGGAGATAGATTTTTCCGTAATCGCACGTAGTGGAAAAAGTGTATTTTGTTTTACACTTTCTCCAAACTTTTACTACTAAAACTAACTTACTTTGCTTGACGAGCAAGCATCTCTTGTTCACGTAGATACAGTTCATACAATCGTTTTTCTTCCGCAGCTAATAGATCCTGCAGAGATTTTAGGTTCCTCATACCGAAACCAGTTATCAAAATGGAGCCCTTGTCGTCTTCTTTAACTTCTTGTACCTAAAACGTAATAGTGCAGCAAATAAAACTTGTCAGAAGGAAGGTGGTAGTCGTATAGGTACAGGAAATATCTACTTTCTTCTGACTGATACTGCATAGAAAAGAGGGTATTTCAGAACGTAGTAGTGTTGAAATTGGAGTTTTATTGCAATTATTTAACTTCGATGGAGCTGGGCAGTTCTTCTCTGATTTCAATTTATACACGCCTATGTGCTGAAATTACTACCCAGTACAGTATTAGCCGGAGAAGTAGGTGTATAACAACTGCAATCAAACCGAAAATAAAAAATAAATATCTATTTATTACCTGTATTTGATCTTTACTAGTTTGTTTTGCGACTTTTGAAAAAAGGGCATCTTGGTCCATTTCTTTTAGTTTGTATTCATCGAGTTCGTAGTGGGGTATTGGAGCCTTAATAGAAGGTATCACTTCGTCTTCTACATACATTCCGTCATCCTGTAGAAAGATTTTTTTAAATATTAGGATATAAAAAATAATTGTGACCTTTATTACAAGTTGCAGGTAGAAAATGATGGTTGTCAAGCTTTGGACAATGTTTATTGTCTTCATATGGACATCTTTGTTTCATATTACGAATATATTAGACAAAAACGTTTATTGTTAATGTAAATTGGGTTGACTAATAATTATTGACATATTCCGTATGACGACGTGGACATTCAGTAAACATATTATTTCGAGAATATACTCTGCGAAAGAATATTAGTAGCTCTCAAAATCATTGAACAGTAGTGCAAGGATCATTCACTGTCTACCAATCCAAAGAAAACAAAAATGATCTTTTTTACAATAAAAAAGGAGGTAAATAGAACTTCCACCTTCAGAGCTGGTAAACAAAAAACTAAACTAAAACAGCAAATTAACAGAAAATTAAGACCTAGAAAACAGAGTCGTAACAAAGACTTATAAGTCCATCAGAAGACCTATGCTAACATAGGGTGCAGTTATCTGAGTATTGAAAACCAAACAAATGACAGCTATCCTCAAACTATAATAAATTTAAAGCACAGCATGTCTCAACAAAATAGAAGCTACGATAACCACACCAATCAGAGTCTTGGAAGTCATTTTTAGTCTCACTCCCCTTGAAATTTTTGCTCTGATGACAGAGACACCATTTCCAAGCAAACATGGACTCCATCTTCATAAAAAGTTATAAAAGAAGAAATAGAAGAGTAGGAAGTGGTACTGATGTAGAATCTGATGACCTGGTGAGGTGAGACATCGTTTCAAGGGGGAGGGGCTCGATACGGTTTCACTGCTTTAAGCAAACATGCACTCCATCTCCATATAAAGTTATAAAAGAACAAATAGAAAAACCGGTAGTGGTAGGTAGGATTCATATCTAAATTGACGATTCTAAAATAGAACAAGGCTCAGGATGTGGAATATATTCTAAATACATAAACATAAGGTGGACTGTGAACAATACTGCCAGTATAGTTCAATTCGACCTCATAGCAGTAAAATAAATTACCAGAAACAATATGACTGGAAGAAACATGCTCATCTATATAGATAACAGACAAGCTGGCAGTACTTCTGTTGGAAAAACTACGAATATACTCAGGGTTAGTACTAGACTGTCATGGAGCTGCAGCCAAAGTATCCATCAATAATGTGGTCCCCTTAAGATGGATCAAAGGTCACGCCAGGAAGGCAGCCAACCAAATACTTTTTGAATATGACCCTTTCATTTGACAAACCTTATTAAAGAAAATTCCCTTGTGAAATTCAAGGAAAGATGGTGATGAAATAAAAAGTTAAAGAGCAGTCAAAAAGCTTTAAATTTATTCTGATAACACTACAACAAACAAATACATAAATATAACTAGAATAAATCTGCGCCTAATCACTGGCATTCTGACTGGTCATTTCCAAGTACGGTAGCTCATCATAAAATGGAGCTGTCAGAATCCGCAATCTGCAGATGGTGGAAGCAAGAAGATGAGAGCTTTGAGCATATCCTGTACGATTGCCTGATGTTCTCATTTATTAGAAGATTCGTGTTTGGTGAGTTTTGGCTAATACATGCCATATAAGAGAAGAACCTCTCGGCGAAATAAAATCGGACGAGCTAAGATGGGTTTATCATTTTAGGAAGATGCACAATGAGCTAGGTGAGGCCTAAGTGCAGTGGGGCAACTCACCCTACCTATGTTAGAGAATACGGAATCGTATTGGTTTCTACTGTTCTTTGAGAAGTAAAAAGGTGAAAAAAATTTAGGGTACAAGAATTACCAAGGATTACCAAATTTGGTAATGGTAAATAGCTTTTCTTCCATTTTTTTGTTGTTTTTCGTTACTTTTTTGTTTTTTCTTTTCGTTTTTTATTTTTCTTTCTTTTGTTATTTTCTTATTGATTTTTATTTTTCTTTCTTTTGTTTTTTCTTTTTGTAATTGTTTTCTTTTTTGGTTTTTGTTTTTATTTCTTGTTTCTTGTTCTTTTCGGTTTCTTGTTTTTTTGGTTTATTATTTTTTTTTTTGTTTCTTAGTTTTTTGGTTTCTTGTTTTTTGGCTTTCTGTTTTTTTGTTTTTTCTGTTTTTTGTTGTTTGTTTGTTTTTTTATTTTTTGTGTTTTGTAGTTTGTTTTTTGTTAATTGTTTTTGTTTATTTTTTGGTTTTTTATTTTTTTTATATTCTTGTTTTTTAGTTTCTTGTTCTTTTGTTTTCTTATTTTTGGTTTCTTATTTTTCTTTTTTTTTCTGTTTTTTCTGTTTGCTTCTTATTTTTCTTTTGTTTTCTTTTTTTTTATTTTTGTTTGTTTGGTTGTTGTTGTTTTTTTATTGTTTTTGTTTGTTTGTTTGTTTGCTTTTTTGTTTTATTTGTTTGATTTTTATTGTTTGTTTTTCATTGATTGTTTTTTGTTTTTCGTTGATTGTTTTTCGTTGATGTTTTTGTTGTTGTTTGTTTTTCATTGATTGTTTTTTGTTGTTTGTTTTTATTATTTGTTTTTTTTTGTTTGTGTTTTTGTTTATTTTTTGTTGTTTGTTTTGTCTGTATTTTTGTTTTTTGTGTTTTTATTTGTTTTTTGTTTGTTTTTTGTTTTTGTTTTTTGTTTTTGTTTTTTGTTGTTTGTTTTTTGTTTTTGTTTTTTGTTTTTGTTTTTGTTTTTGTTTTTGTTTTTGTTTTTTGTTGTTTGTTGTTTGTTTTTGTTGTTTGTTTTTTGTTGTTTGTTTTTTGTTGTTTGATATTTGTTGTTTATTTTTTGTTGTTTGTTTTTGTTTTTTGTTTATTTTTTGTTTGTTTTTTGTTTGTTTTTTGTTTGTTTTTTGTTTGTTTTTGGTTTGTTTTTTGTTGTTTTTTCTTTTTGTTTTTCTTTTTCTTTGGTTTTTCTGTTTGTTTTCTTTTTTGGTTTTTGGTTTGTTTTTTGTTTGTTTTCTGTTTGTTTTTTTTTGTTTCTTGTTTTTTCGGTTTCTTGTTTTTGTAGCTTCTTGTTTTTTCTTCTTTTTTGGTTTCTTATTTTTGTTGTTTCTTATTCTTTTGGTTTCTTGTTTTTTGGTTTCTTGTTTTTTTTTGTTTCTTTGTTTTTTTTTGTTTTTTGTTTGTTTGTTCTTTGTGGTTTGTTTGTTTTTTGTTGTTTGTGATTTGTTATTTGTTTTTGTTTGTTTTTTGTTGATTGTTTTCTTTTTTGTTTTATTTGTTTGATTTTTATTGATTGTTTTTCATTGATTGTTTTTTGTTGTTTGTTTTTCATTGTTTGATTTTGTTTATTTTTTGTTTGTTTTTTTGTTCTTTGTTTGTTTTTATTTGTTTTTTGTATTTTATTGTTTGTTTTTTGATGGTTTTTTTCTTTTTTGTTGTTTGTTTTTTGGTGGTTTGTCTTTTATTTTTGTTTTTTGTTTGTTTTTTATTGTTTGTTTTTATTGTTTGTTTTTTGCTGTTTTTATTGTTTGATTTTTGTTTTTTTGTTGTTTTGTTGTTTTTGATATTTTGTTGTTGTTTTTTGTTTTTTAGTTATTGTTGTTTTTATTTTGTTTTGTTGTTTTTTGTTCACTCATCTGTTTAATGAATGAAATTTATTTTTTATTAAATATTATATGTTTATAAATAAATATACTGCAAATCGGTTGCCTAAGAAAAAATTGACAAGACTATTTATTTAAAGTATTTATATAAAGTATTCATATAAAGTATTCATATAAAGTATTCATATAAAGTATTCATATAAAGTAAAGTATTCATATAAAGTATCTCCCGGCTCATTGCCGGATGAATTAAAGCTTAAGTTTAAAATTTTGTGTTCTTCTCTTTATCCTTTTCCACTTATCTTTAAAATTCGAAATTTGCACTTTTTCTTAAATATTTCAAGGGAAATCATGAATGGGACAAAAATTATAGAGAATGATAACACAAGCAACTTTTACCATGATTCCTATATTCTTTCCTTCTTTGTATACAGAAAGGAAACTAAAAATAACTTTGACAGTATTTTTTTAGGCCATCCATTTGCGGTATATTTATTAACATATTTTATTTAAAGAAAATACCTTTTATTCCTTAAACAGATAGGTGACGGTCGACCTTACTTCGTATTCTGCACTATTATAAAAAAAATAGAAAATGTAGCAAAAATATATTCCTTTTATTTAAGAAATATTATACGACTTGACAACATAGCTTATATTAATGTCAAAATGCCTATCTCAAGGAACGAATCTACATAAGCAAATTTTTATGGAAATGACTAAATTTCAGATGATATTTGAGTTTAAATTTAATAAAAATAATCTGATAATATTAAAAAACAACTCAGAACCACGTTAGAGATGTATGAATAGCTAATAATAATAATAATAAAGAATTTTATTTAATTTCCTTATATTTAAGTACTAACCTCGCCTTCTTCCATTTGACCATATAACATGATATTCTTGAGTTCATCCATAGGCACCTCTTGAGCTCCATGTTTTGCTGCTTGTTTGGATTTTGGTACAACTTTTTTTCTCTGCGAGGATCCTGACATTTTTGACTTCTAAACAACAAATCATTTTGTTTCCATCTTTGTTTATACATGACGTTTTTCTTCTTTCTATTGATTTTTGTTGAGGCCTCAGCTGCCAGGGTTCAGTGAAAGGTCGGGTAGGGAATCCTACCTCTGCTTCAGAATTAATGTTTAATTAAATAAGTTAATTAGAAAAAATTTTTAAAAACGGTGGATTTGAACCCCGTACCCTTAGATTCTCAAGTCCATACTGTAAAACCATTGAGCCACCCATTCCCTTTCTATGGCTTTATATTTATAAGTAATTTATTTTGTCAATATCAAAACATGAACCCAAAAAAATCCTTTTATAGCCAACGCATTCATTTAAATCTAAATACAGGAAACTTATTTACATATAAATTACGAATTACAAAAATAAAAGTATGGCAGGTCTGTTTTTTCCGGGCAGATTTATCATTTATTACTTTTTCTGTTGAACGCAGACTTCAATGGAAATACATGTATTGAGGGTGTAGGTAACGATTGTACAATTTCATTTTATCCTTGCTAGGAGCACTTCAAAGCAAAATTTATTTCATATCTTTCATATTAGAATTTCATATTAATTTTATATTATAGTACAGGTAAATGAGTTATATTTTTGGTAATATTGATGAAAGTATTGGTGGTATACTTATATAAGAAATAATTATATTATTGTATTAAGATATGATTATTTAGATTACGAGTTTTATTATGTTGTGTTAGTTCGAATAAGTTACTGATGCCCGGTTTCACCGACAGTAAATAAATCACAGAATAGTTATTCAATGAATAACATTTATTCTGAAGTTAAGTATTTTGACGTTTCATCAACATTTTTATATGATCAGTTAGTTATTCATTGAATTATGTATTTTAATCAGATACATGAAAAGAAGAACATATGTACTGTCACTTTTGACACTTATTGTCAGTTACAATCGAATATTACAATATCAATAACAGCGAAAATTATGGATAGGAAAAGGGAACGAAGTAAAAATTATTTAGAAGAGAAGGAGAATTTGTTGATTATTATGGAAGATTTTAAAGATATTGTTGAAAACAAAAAAACAGATGCCGTTTCCTCAAAAATAAAAACTGAGGCATGGAACAAAATTGCAGAATGGTACAATAGTACAGCAAAAACAGGAGTGCGCAATAGTATTCAACTCAAATTGCTTTATGATAATTTAAAAGACAGCCAAAAAACATATGAAACATGATGAAAAGGTAAATAAACTTTATAATAAATAATACTATATTTCATATACTTTATTTATTTCAAACCACATTTTTATAGTATTTTACATTTTTTTAGGTTGAAGTATATAAAACTGGCGGAGGCAGTACTTCGCAAAAAATGAGCAGTTGTGACACACGGGTATTGAGTTTATTAGGAACTCAAGCAGAAGGACATGACAATCGTTATGACGCAAATACCGATCTACAGACCAATATTGTAGTGGATGCCGATATGAACCTTTTAAGTCCAAGTTCAGCAACCCCAACTACAACACCAACTGTAGTCCCAACTACTACACCTACTGTAGTTTTTTCAGGACCTAAAAGGGAAAAGCAATGCAACAAGGCGTTTTTCAAAAATTTAAAAGAAAAAAAGTACTATTTCTGAATATCAGCAACAGGTATTAAATATGAAAAAACAAAAACACGACAAGAAAATGGAAATTCTCGATATAATTAAAGAAAGAGAAGAATATGAATTAAAAATTAAAATATTACAATATAAAGAAAAGAAAAATATTTAATTCTGTTTTTTTTAATAAAGTATTTTTATCTAGCAAAAACTGTATTTATTAAAGCTCTTCGAACTGCCATATTTTCATTTTCTAAATTATGGTCAATATTTCCAGCATCATCAAATATGGGTACCACAATTTCAGGATCTTCGTTAGGATCATTGTCGCCCATTTCAGTGGCAATCTTATGCAGAACCGTACATGCTACAATTATAGTCAAAACAGTGTCTAAATTTACTCGAAGTCCTAGAGATAGGCATGGAAAACGTCGTTTTAGAACTCCAAAAGTCCTTTCTATTACGTTACGAGTTCTTATATGTGCGTTATTATTAAATGAAGTATTTTTCGCTTTGGAAGCTATTTAGTTAAACCAGTAACCTTTTTATGTATTTTATAATAAATTTTTTCTACACCCGTATTATAATAATGCACTTATATGCCCAAAATCCGTTTCATAATGATACCCATTATGATACAGATTTTTCATTATGATACAGATTTTTAATCAATAGAAACCTACAATTTTTCAATCAAGCATGATGTTTGACGTTTGTCCTAAATTCCTATGTAATTGTTTTAGTTGTCAAAACGTATTAAATTTTCGTAGATAGCTAAACTTCGATAATTATAATATTAAAATGTCTGATATCAGCGATATAGAGCACTCCTCCACACATATAGGAGAAAGGAGAAAATGCAGTACAAAATATTTTGCCCCAAAAATCTGTGGTAATACCAGTACCCAAGGTAATACCATTAATTACAATTTTGTAGAATTTTTTATAGAAATACGAGTAATTACTGTTATTGTGTTCAATACCAATATAAATAGAATATTTATAGGTCTTGATTATTTATCGGGTGTAGAAAAAATAGCGTATGCAACTCTCATGTAATGGTTATTACATGATCGTTGCATAATATACTATTTATTGAGAATGACAAAACGTTTTTTTTATTGACTGACAACTTTTATTCAATTCAAAAAACACAACGAAACCATAGATACATACTGTATATATTATATAGTAAGTGTACTATATGCTGCATAGATTCAACACTCCTCCTCGATTTGAAATTTTTAACAGAAAAATTGAAAAGCGCTCAACAGCACATAATACCATTACCAAGGTACAATATTTAAAACATCTCTAAAATTTAAAAATTTTTGTTTACATAATGCTTTTGTAAAAACATCTGCAGCATTATTTTTAGTGTTAACATAATCCATTTTAATTTGACCATTGATGACCAAATCTTTGATATAGTGTTCTTTGATATCAATGTGTTTTACACGTTTAGAATTTTCATATGATTTTGACATACAAATTGCACCAACATTGTCCATTAATAACGTAGGTTCAGTAGTAACGCCAAAATCTAAAAGAATACCTTTTAAATACATTAGTTCTTGGGCAGCAGCAGAACCAGCAACATATTCTGCTTCGGTGGATGACAATGCGACACAGTTTTGCTTTCTAGATGACCAAGAAACTGAATTGTTGCAATAGAATACTATACATCCACTTACACTTTTGCGGTCCGAAGTGTCTGTAATGTTCTGCTCGGCTTCATTTTTTACTTTTAAGAGCTTAACCATTGTAAAATGCGAGAAATCGTCCACTAGGACTTGGAAATATTTTGCACCATCAAAAGTGGGGGGATTTATTGGCCCTACAAGATCGGAATGAATAAGATCACCTATTGCTTTTGACTTTTTCGCTTTTGTGAGAAAACTTCTTCTTGTGCTTTTACCTTCAATACATTTTTCACATTTTTCTTTGGAAGATGGCAACCCCAAAATGTTTATTCCATGTCTATTTAAGTGCCCTAGCCTTCTATGCCATAGATCGGCTTTGATTTTACAAATATTTACACTTTCTTCTAAGGAATTACCTGCATTTCCAGGTTCTAATAAATCTAGTTTTATTGCATATAAGTTTCTTTTAGACTTTTTGCACTTGATTTCAAAATGTTTGCTTTGAATTCGTACTTCATCTTCACTAAATGTAACATGTAAACCTTTTTCTGTTAACTTTCCAACCGATAGAAGGTTGTGAGGCATGTTTTTCACAATAAGGGCAGGAATTGAAATTATTGTATCTTCATATTTTGCTTTTAAAATACCTCTCTTTTTGGACATCATTTTATCACCATTTGCAATGTGAATTACTATTTCATGATCCAAAATTTCTACTTCTGACATGAAAATCTCTAGTTTATCTGACACCAGATGTTGTGTTGCACCAGAATCAAGAATAAATATATCATTTTCTATATTGTCATTATTTAGACAGTTCATGGCAATAAATGAGACTTCACTGTCGGCTGCTCCATGTGCTTTTTGTGACGTAGACTGCTCGTTTATAAAATTAGCTTGTGAATATCCTCTCTTTTTACGAAAATTGGATCGACCTCTACTATTTGAATTTCTTGACCAGCATTCTGTAGATTTGTGGCCCTTCTTTCCGCAAGCGAAGCACTTTATGGGGAAAGCTCCAAATGTAACTTCATCGGTTTTATCTCCTTTTGTTTGATTTTTATTTTTAATTTTTAATTCTTCGTCTAGGAGCCTTGCTTTTACAAAATCCATTGATACTTCAGTGTTTAACGTTTCGATCGCTGTAATAACTGATGCGTACTCTTCATTCAATGTTAAAAGAAGATGGCAAACCTTGTCGGATTCTTCAATTTTTGAACCGACGCTTTCGAGTTCTCTAATTAACGAATCAAATTGTTGAAAGTGATCTTCTAGTTTTTCTTCCTGCTTACATTTCATGGTCAGTAGCTTTTTCTTTAGGGTAAGTTTCGTAAAAACGCTTTTTCTTTCAAAAACATTTTGAAGCGCATTCATCATTTCTTTTGCTGTATTGGAATCTTTTACTATATCCAAATGTTTATCGGTTATACATTGTATAATTATCGACTTAGCTCTTGCATCTCTTTCTCTAAACTTTGCTCGTTCTGAATGATTTATTTCTCCCTCTTCAGTTTCTAATGTTATTTTACATTGTTTTTCTGCGAGAATGGCTTTAACTCTAAACTTCCAATTATTAAAATTATTTCCACTTAGTTGAGGAAAACTAACTCCTGGTAGTAGACCTGCCATATTAAATATTTCTTCTTGCAGCTAGTTACTAATAAAACTTAGCTGGGCCCATAACCTAAATGAAGTATTTTTCGCTTTGGAAGCTATTTAGTTAAACCAGTAACCTTTTTATGTATTTTATAATAAATTTTTATTGAGAATGACAAAACGTTTTTTTTTTATTGACTGACAACTTTTATTCAATTCAAAAAACACAACGAAACCATAGATACATACTGTATATATTATATAGTAAGTGTACTATGTGCTGCATAGATTCAACAATTATAAGCATGTTCTGACGCTGTTAGAGGATGTAATAGAGGTGTAAGTAGGTATTTTCTGCATGCATAACCGCTGTCTCCCAAAAGGTAACTGTCGGGGTACTCATTATTTTCAAAACGA